CAACAATAATAGAGAAATAACGAGTACAAGTATAGAATAGTACAACGGTTAAATGGCCATTTAAAGGCGTACACATGTCATTCCTGGTAAAAATTGTTCTCATAATTTTTCATACAATTTCTCATTTTATTATTTTTTTAAATGTTGTTATGTCATTAAATCCGATTTAACCGTCATGCAATAAGTACTGAAGGCAGCAGCACCGAATAAAATATTAGTCTCGCTATGTAAATAACTTTTACAGAATTTTTTTGATGGTTTATTTAAAAATATATCATGCTTCGATTTTGATAAAACTTAATATAATCTGAACGGGACGATCGACCAAATTAATTCGCACATGTAAAAGTACAATATTTTATTAACATGATAGAAAAATGTCATTATCTGCTGTTTTATTGCAGTAATTTTCTATATATTCCTTGGTAGAAAATTAATTTCGAATTATCGTCCCAGTCTGTCTTACATTATTTATACGCTAAACGGTTTCGTCTATATTTTGCGGCTTAAAAGGCGAATAAACTATAATATTTTTCTTCCTTTACTTTAAATGGGCAATACAAAGCGCTTTTTATCAAGTGAGGAATTGGCGTAGTGTCTAAAGCGACGGACGATTATCCAAAAGATGTCTCCAGTTCAAGTTCGAATCTCACTAGAGAAAATATTAAAAATTATGAACAAATAATGTAGAAAAATTTTTTTTGTCAGTATTTTATGAGTATTTATGAGAAAGCGCTTATTCTATGAGTAATTATGAAAAATTATGAGAAAATTTAATTGAAGAACCTACGAAACGACAGGATCTGCGCGCAATCTGCAGCCAATCTGCCGTCATAGTTTGTCGACAGGCTCTGCGCGCAATCTGCCGTCAATCTGTCGTCAGAGTCTATTCGCAGACCCTGTCAACAGTCTGGCGCCAGATTGGGGACGCAGATGTCTATGGATCTGTCGACAGATCCTGCTCGGATTCGACAGATCCTGCTCGGATTCGACAGATCCTGTCGACAGTCTGACGTCAGTCTGCGCGCAGATTGCTTACTGGGTAGTTTTCATCGAGAGCGGTGCACTTGGACACGGTGCATTTGGACACAGCCAATCACAGCACCGTGTGATTAGAGACATTTGTAGGGTCCCTTGTAACAGCGACTTGTGATTGGACTGTGTCCAATTGCCCCGTGTCCAACTGATATATACCCGTTTTCATCTATACATAAATTATGTAATATGCAGCACGATATAA